AACTTGCCCAATTAGCATCGCAATATGCCACCAGTTGCAACTTACTTGAAGAAGATAATAAGATCCCCTACCTCAGTGATTTCTTAATGTAATGCAAGACCTTCACGGTTACCTTAAAGTGTTCTTGCTTGGGATTTTGCATGAATTGTGCTAAAATACTCACAAAATAACAAATATCTGGTCAAGTGATTGTTAAATAAGCAGTCTCCCAACCAATCTCCTATTTTGTGAACGATCAGATGCTAAAGGTCCAAAAGCTAGTGTAAGTCGATGATTCTGGTCTAAGGGAAAGTGACTAGGTTTCGCTCCAAGCAATCCTGCCTCTATAAGGACATAAAGAGCATATTTTCACTGACTTAAAATGATGGGTTCAGTTGTTCGAGCAACCTTCAAAAGGCCTAAATCTTTTATGGAAAACACTCTGTGTAGATAAGCCTTAAGAGCTGTAATTTTCTCACCATCATTGCTTGTAATCACTATGTCATGTACATAGATGAAAACTACAACAAACTTATTATCAGTAGTAGAAGTGAATAAAAAGTAATCTACTTTTGATTGACAAAAACCAGCTGCCAAACGAGAATTTGTGAACTTTTCAAACCAGTTTCTTGAAGCTTGCCACAAACCATATAGAGATTTGTGCAATCTGCAACTTTATTGTTTTGTTTGCAATCGAAACCTTGTGGTATCTTCATATATACTTTTTCATGTAAGTCACCTTGTAAGAAGGCGTTATTCACATATAATTGGTGCAATTCCCATTGTTTAATGGATGCAAGAGCAAGCAACACTCTCGCTGTTACCATTTTTGCAAGAAAAGCAAAGGTCTCATGGAAGTCTAGTCCTTCAATTTTTGTGAAGCCTTTAGCCACCAACTTGGCTTGATACCGTTCAATTGTCCCATCTGGTTTGAATTTAACCTTGTATACCCACTTTGAATCAATTGCATGTTTCCCTGGAGGTAACGTCTCAATTGTCCAAGTACCATTCTTCTCAAGTGTAATGATGTCATTCCTCATTGCTTTTTGCCATTTTTCATGTTTGATGGCTTGAGAAAATGTTTTGGGCTCATCTATAGAGGATATGGTTGCAAGATAGGTTCGATGAGGGAGTGAAAAAGAATTATATGAGACATAGTTAGACAGAGGGTATGGCGTACCTAAGTTCATTGATTGTAATGGAGCTTTTGTGGGCTAAAGGGATGTGGGCATGGTGCAGACATAGTCATCAAGATGTTGAGGAGCACGTCTCTCTCATTATGGTCGTTGGACTGGGGCAACAGGCTCAATAGTTGGGTTGTGGTTGGTGTCCAAATTAGTGGTAGTGTTTCAGTGGGATCAATTTCATGATCATCTAAGGTAATTGTATCATGAGTTCTATGCTTGGTTGCAGGATATTAGGAGCAAATGATGCCATGTGATCTTCAACACTATGAATGGATGCATATGGAAAAATTTGCTCATAAAAAACCACATCTCGTGAAATAAAGATTTGATTGCTTTCCAAATCAAAAAGTCTATATCCTTTTTGCCCAAAAGGATAGCCAATGAAAATACATTTTGTTGGTCGAGAATCAAATTTTTGACGATTCTTAGAGCGATTGTGGGCATAACAAAGCCACCCAAACACTCTTAAATGTGAATAACTAGAAGCCTTTTGAAAAAGTTTTTCAAATGGTGTGAAATTTGAAGGCACAAGTGTAGAAGTTAAATTGATTAAGTAAGCTGCAGTGGGGATGCATTCATCCCAAAATCTTAAAGGTAGATTGGCTTGAAATCTTAAAGCTCGTGCTACCTCAAGAAGGTGGCGATGCTTTCATTTGACAACCCCATTTTGTTGAAGTGTATATGTGCATGTTGTTTGTAATATAATTCCTTTCTTAAAGCAAAATTCTTTCACTTGCCCTTCAGTGAATTCTTTGCCATTGTCACTACAAATCTGTTGAACATGAGTGTGAAATTGGTTTTCCACCATATGGCAAAAATTTATCAAATATGATGCAATTTTAGAGTTGTTCTTTTAAAAGATACACCTATGCGCAGCATGAAAAATCATCCACAATGGTAAAAAAATAATGTGCACTAGTATTAGATGGAGCGGCATGTCTACCCTATAGATCACAATGAACTAAGGCAAAATGATGAGTAGATTTATTATTGCTAATAGGAAAAGGTAGTCTCATTTGCTTAGCTTGATGACAAGCATCACAAACATGTTTTATTTGATTTGAACATAAAGGTAAAGAAGATATTTTAGCCAGTCGTTCTGTAGGTGCATGCCTAAGCCGTTGATGCCATAACACCAAGGATGTGTCCTTTTTGGTATGACTAATGGCTGCTACATGCCCAAAATCACAATAGTAAAGCCCATCACGAAGCTTACCCATTCCAATCAACCTCCTTGAGGCTAGGTCTTGAAAGATACGAAAATCAGGGAAGAAAATTACATCATAGTTAAGTTACTTTGTTATCTTTCTGATAAAAAGAAGATTGCATGCAAATTGAGGGACACAGATAACATTTTCTAGAGTAAGTTTATCTGACAAGGTGGCTTTTCCTAAATGAGATGCATCTAGGGTGGATCCATTTGGGATGTAAACAAGTGATAAGTAAGGCCTTGTGTCCTAGAGTATGGAAGAATGTGGTGTCATGTGCTTAAATGCACCACTGCCAATTATCCAAGAAAGAAAAGAATGTGAGGTCTTACCAACAAGGTTGACAGATTGTTTAGAATCAGAATTACCATAAAGAAGTGTGAAGAGTTGATCATACTACGACTTGGTAAGTCCTGTAATTGTCAATTGATCCAATTGACCTCCAGTCATTTGTGGCTCAAGTGATGCATTTGCTGCAAAAATCACATCCTTATTTGTGTTCTGAAGATTTTGCTGTTCCCCCTTACCCTTCATCTTCGTTTGTCCTAGTTTCCAACTCACCGAATAGCCTATTATTTCATAGCATCTTTCCTTTGTGTGGCCTATCTTTTTGCAGTTATCACAGTGTGGTTTCCCTGATGTGCTCACCTTCCCATTATAACTTGTCTTTGCTACTAAAGCCGCTACCTATATAACTGGACTTCTAGATGCAGACACCATTTGCTGTTTTTCTTCTTTTGTGGCCATTAAATAAACCTTGTTGAGAGATGGTAATGGTTCCATATTCAATATCTTTGAACGCATCATAGAAAAATTCTCATTCAAGCCCATGAGAAATTGATGAATCTTCTCAGTCTCTCGTGCCCTTGTAAACTCCTTTGCTGCACCACAAGTGCAGCCATAAGTACATGTTGGAACAAGTTCATGACCTTACAACTCATCCCAAATAGGTTTCAATTTTGTAAAATAAGCTGTGACAAATCTTGTTTGTTGAGTGGTTGTTGCAAGCTCGAGCTTCAGTTCATATATCCGGGATGTGTTTCCTTATGAGAAATGTTCCTTCAAATCTTCCCAGACCTCTGCTGCACTCTCAACATAAGCCACACTATCATGCAATTCCCTTGAGAGACCATTCAGTATCCATGACAATACCATGGAGTTACACTTTGTAAAGCTTGAAACTGTAAACAATCTGCACTTGGCTTCTTAAGAGTTCCATCAACGAACCCCATTTTGTTCTTTGCATATAGAGCATTTTGCATCACTCTCCTCTATGTGTGGAAGTTTTCTCCTGTTAAAGGAGATGTGATTAGAACCTTGCCAGGATCAACACTGGGATGAAAATAATAAGGTGAGTCCAAATTTGTTGTCTTGAGGACAGCCTTGTCTCCCCTTGCTCCCTCAGATCCCTTCTTGGCTTGATCGTTGTCTGACATCATTGATTCCTCTGGGCAGCAAAAACTTGTTCTAACCAGTTATTGCAACAAAACCTTGTTGTCAATTTAGACTCCTTCACTCTGATACTGTGAGAAACTAGAGTATGGAGCAACGATGTGTGCTAATTGCATTAGATTTTCATTACTGTGGATTCTAATCATATATACAAATTGGCACCAGTAATGAAGCCTAGAAAGACGCTACTATACAAGGAAAAAATATTTATACATACTGTTATAACTCTGCAATGATAGTGTAGAGATTGATTTCCTTATTCTATTCCATGATATTCTCTTATAGCCTCTTGATATTTTGCTTTTGGGACCTCATCACTACCCTGAGACCTTTCCAATGAAGAACTGCCAAACCCTCTAGACATATGCTCTCCAATTTTTGAAACAGCCTTATTTGCCCCATCAAGTTTTGCCTTGATTTCCTCAGCCTTATCACCCGCCATTACTTTCCTCAAATCTTCCACTGCAGGCCCTATCTCTCTTGTAACTTCATCTAGAATCTTGCTCTTGTACTCACCCAAGCTCTACTCAATGTTGTATATGGTTGTGAATGTTATAAATTTTAATTAAAAATTATAATCAATTGTACAATTCCAATGTGGGTTACAAATCCATTATTTTCAAAATCAATTCTAGTTGGTTATGAATTCATTATTTAAAAAACTTAATCTCAATAGTTATAAATCTATTTTGCTTTAATCGGCAACAGTTACAAATCCATTCATTTTCGTTTTTTTTTTTTTTCAAATGGTTTTAAATCTATACATTATTATTACATTTGATTGCATCAATTACAAATTTTGCTTGATACCACAAAATTTCAATTCAAATTACAACAATTCTACTTCAGTTATAAAGTAGAGCCTATAAATAGGCAACCTCTATTTTTTACAAAAACTTAATTTACAATCTTAGAACCTGCATTCTTATTCCAAAAAAAAAAAAAAGAAAAAGAAAAAACAAACAGTACCTATGCTTAAACCTCTTTTGGGTAAGGAAAAGGTGGTGGGGTAGAGCTTTCTTTATAAGAATGCAGTACTTGTAAAGATACAACGAGAAAAGGTTAAGCTGTTGTATCTTGAGGTAGCATGACCATAAAAAATTGCTTCATCAATGGCACAAAATGACCTAAAAAGAGTGATTGATCCACCCCTCAACTCAAACTCCTTATACTTTTGATAACATCTTTCTACTTTTCATCTTTAATTAATTGTTTTACTAATATTTTATATACTTTATTTTTTATTTAGTTTACGAGGAACAATAGTGTTAGACTGTTAGCACTGTTGCTCAAGTCAAACAAAGCTTTTTTCTCTTCATCTTTCTAAGCATGCATTTCAGCCTCCCTGACCATCTTATTGGTCTCATCATCTAAAAGTCCTCCAAAAGATTGGATTGTAATCTGCTGCTCCTTATTTGTTGCCTTATCCTTAGCAAAAATAGTTACAATCCCATTGACATCTATATCAAATGTCACCTCAATTTGTGGCAAGCCTCTAGGCATAGAGGGAATACCAACAAGGTCAAACTCACCCAAAAGCTTGTTGTCTGCCACCATTTGACGTTCACCTTGAAGTACTTTAATTCCCACCTGAGTTTGGTTGTCCACAGCAGTAGAGAAAACCTGGAAGCAAAAAAACTAGCATTAATCATTATCTAAAAAATATATCAACAAGGAAACAAGAATGGTTGAGACTTGAGAGCACTAATACCACTCCTTGACAGAAACATGTGGGCTTAGAAATGGCATGATACCAGCACCTAGCATCTATAAATTGTAAATATTACTTTAAAAAGAAAAAACAGAAATAGTTCCTCATGTCATCAATCTCAGCTAGGTACATTAGTATGCCATGCTAATGGAAGGACGACAACATTGTTGTTTATCCACATATATATTAGAAAGAGAAGCTGAGCTATTTCCACACTAACTACATATTACAGCATATTAACACTTATTCTAGAAAAAAATCAGTGGCAGTGCACTATTTCTTTTTATCCAATTCTTTTGATATCAATGCATTACATACTAAAAAAACTGACCTATGATTTCTTGGTAGGATTGGTCGTGTTCCTATTGATCAACCTTGTGAAAATTCCACCTAGAGTTTCAATACCAAGTGACAGAGGGGTCACATCCAACAGAAGCAGCTCCTTAACATCACCTTGAAGAATGCCACCTTGAATTGCTGCTTCCATTGCAAATGCCTTGTTAGGATTAACACCCTTGCTTAGAGCTTTTCCAAAAATTTTTGCTACTACTTTCTGCACCTTTGGAACACTTGTCATTCCTCCCACAAGCAAAACTTCATCCACTTCATTAAGGGATATCCTAGCATCCTTCACACAGTTCTTACACGGGTCTCTTGTCCTCTCAATCAATCTGCTCACCAGACCCTCAAACTTGGATCTGGTTAGAGTTATATTCAAATGTTTAGTTTTAGACGCATCAGCAGTTATGATTGGTAAGGTGACTTTAGTCTGGGTTGTGGATGAGACTTCAATCTTAGCCTTTTCTTCTACCTCCCGAAGCCTCTGTAGGGTGCGTGTCCTTTGAGAGATCAATGTGGTATATCCGCTTGAGCTCATCCACTAAGAAGTCTAACAATGCATTATCAAAGTGCTCTCCTCCCAAAAAGGTGTCTCCATTTGTAGCTTTAACATGCAAAAAGATCGTTACATAACTTGACCAAGCAAAATCAACAACTAAGAAAAAAAGCACATACCTCAAACACACTATTTGAAATTTCTAATATAGAAACATCAAAAGTTCCACCTCCGAGGTCAAACACTGCTATGATGCCCTCCTTGTTATTTAACCCATAGGAAAGTATGGTGGTAGTTGGTTCATTGATAATCCTCTGAACATCCAGCCCAGCGATTCGACTAGCATCCTTTGTTGCTTGTCTTTGAGCATCATTAAAATAAGTTGGAACGGTAATCACTGCTTTTGACATTGTCTTCCCAAGGTGTGCCTCTGTAGTTTCCTTCATCTTTGTCAAAAAAAATGCACCAATTTGGCTAGGAGAATTTCTTTCAATTGGCTTCAACCCACGCATCTCCATTAGGAGCTCTAACAATTTTGTAAGTAACCATTTTGATTTCTTTCTGTGTCTAAGGATCATCAAAATGTCGCCTTATGAGATGTTTGGTTCCAAACAAGGTGTTTGTAGGGTTAGTTATCGCCTGGCATTTGGCTGGCGTCCCAACAATCAGCTCCTTTTGTTGGTTGAATGCAACAATAGATGGTGTAGTTCGAGCTCCTTTAGCATTCTCAATTACTCTAGCACTCTGCAAAATGTAACAGAGCAGTATGAGTACCTACAAGAAAAAGGAATTTCTCCAAATGAAAATACATTTCATTGGATACTAACCTTTCCCTCCATCACTAACACACATGAATTGGTGGTTCCCATATCAACTCCAATAACATCATTGCCAACAAGCCTTGAGCTGTATCGTTCAAATAGTAATACCTCAGCAAATAGAAGCCTTTAATGTGGAGGATGTTTTACAGAAACAACACAAATACTTGAAAGGCCTTGCCAAGGTTGCCCACTTGTTAACCAGTGGAGAGGTTGACAATGACGCCTTTGAATTGCTAGTAAACTGTGGGAGACAAATGCTATTGGTAAGATTATATTATACTATCATACCAAGGGAATAAATTATTGGATATCCTCATAGCACAATTTGTTCCAGCATCAACAAAATCAGGGGATAGAAAATCTTAAAATTAAAAAGTGAAGAGCATGTCTAACATGTTTCAAAATTTCTATTTCACTTCCAAAAATATAAATCTTTGATTTCAATGAAGTACCCTTAACTCATATGCCTCCAAAACGTTGATATCATTCAACTCTGAGGGCTTAAACTTTAGCACCTTAGACATTGATGGGAATCAAAATTGAAAAAGAATATCTAATCTTCATTTCCAAAACCAAATTTCTTCTATCTAGGATTCATTTCACTGCCACTAATTTTCCAAAACGAGGTTCGAAACACAATTTCAAAGCAGATATACAGTATAAAAAGAGAATTTCTACAGTGAGTATTGTTAAGTGGGAAAATCCCACATTAAGTATAAAAATAAAAAGCTTGTGGCTTAAATACAAGGAGGGCTACTCTACCTATTGCCAATTGGTTTTAGGTTGGATGAAAACCTTGTGTTGAACCCACATGCACAGTTTTCAATATGGTATCAGAGCCCAAGTTCTACCATGAGAAGCCCGTTGTTAGCCCACCTGACATACCGGGCTTGCATTTAAGGGGGCGTGTTAACCCACGTGATAGGACCTGACATTCATAGCGGGTCTACACGTGAGGGGGTGTGTTAAGGGGGAAAATCCCACATTGAGTATAAAAATAAGAAGCTTGTGGCTTAAATACAAGGAGGGCTACTCCACCTATTGCTAATTGGTTTTAGGTTGGATGCAAGCCTTGTGTTGAACCCACATGTACAGTTTTCAATAAGTATCAAGGACCATAAACCATTTATTCAGAAAACAATATGACATTAAAGACATCAAATCCTAAGATATTACCACTTTGCAAACACAAATGGACACATATACTATAAAGACATGATTGGAGAGCACACTTATGTATCTATAGGCAGAGAAAGAAGCAGAGTGAAGTTCACGACGCTATAGAGAACAACGAAGGACATAAGCGGCCATGATCGAAGCTACGTTGGGGCCTTGAGAACCGAAGGGTTTAAGCGTAGGGTTTTAGAGAGATAAGAAGGTTTTCAAAGGAATGTGTAATTGCAACAAACTAGGGAACTTCTTCCCGTCCAAGTCTTCTCTTCGAGATGACCTGCAAAGCCTCAAGGTGGATTTTCAGGGTAGACACTCCAATGTTTAAGTCAGCAATAGTCTGGTCTACCTTTTAGAATTATGGAAAAATAAGTTTTAGGTTGGTTTCAATTACCTTCTTGAGTTGGCCCCCGAGGGGTATTTATAGACCTTAATGAGGTGTCGACGTGGCTTGCTTAACGAGATAATTGGAGTCTGACATGTTTCTTTAGGCGATGATCTCGGGAATGGGAAATCAAGTGCCGACATGCCCATTGTAACTATAGTGTAGTTGTTTGACCAGGAAGAGCTGAATCTGACCTTTACCCAATCAATAAAGAAATGTAGCAGTACGTCCGAGGTCCTTAACCTTAGACCTATCCTTACACTATTCCCTCCTCTAAGTCATTCACTTGTGAATGATGTAGTCGAGGGTGGTAAGGGTTGTTCATTATCATGGGGAGATGCATAATGAAATATGATGAGAAAGGTAAATAACAATCTATGTAATATATGATTTAACTATAGTGGTTATTGCATTATGGTCATGATCGAAGTAAAATTGGTGATGCGAGATTATTATAAGCGAAATTGGGATAAGATATGTGACATGTGGTCACTCAGGCTATAACCGAAGTAGAAATAGCTACTCAAGGTCACTGAGGCAGTAGCCGAAGTCAAAATGGTGACACATGGTCATTGAGGCCGTAGCCGAAGTAAAAATGGTGACTCGTGGTCATTGAGGCCGTAGCTAAAGTAAAAGTGGTGACTTGTGGTCATTGAGGCCGTAGCCGAAGTAAAAATGGTGACTCTTGGTCATTGAGGCTGTAGCCAAAGTAAAATACTTGTAACATTGAAAGCATTTGTGTAAACAAAAGTATTTGGGTTGGGATTTGTAGGGCCCATGTACAAAGCATGATATGGAGTTAATACGTGATATGACAACTGTCTGTTAAAAGACGTGTGAAATAACACGGGCTATAAAAAGTAACTACAATAGTGAAATAGACGTACTCAAAAACAAACTGTCAAATTCGAGCGGGTCCCATTAGGAATTAACTATCGAATTTGAATCAGTGTAATCGTGACTGTTGGATAAAATTAATCACGACCATTGAAGCACATTTTTGTATCGGTATATATAGCCATATTTCTATAAAAATATTTTACTTTTGCCATATTTGCTACCGAAGTGCTGTTACAGTTTCGTTTGAGCTTGTGTGCTTGGGCTTCTGGATTCATTTGTGACTTCTACGCTAATTTTACAAGATCGAAATCAGGTAACTTATGAATTTTGGTAGTTTTGATTCTAGTGAAGAGTTTCATTCTCTTCTCACCCTTTCTAATTTAGATTTAAGTCCTCTTAAAGAGGTTAGGTTCAGGAGTGAGAGTGACATTGAGCGTGAGTTAGAATTTTTTTAAGATCCTGACTTCATTCCCCCCTACTCCGTACAATGAAAGTTACAAAACTGAAGAAATGTCTTCTGACGAAACGTTGAGTGTTGGAGGAAGCGAGGAAGTGAGGGCTTTGGAATACGATGATAGGGGTATAGAGAGTTGGTTGTTAGCGTCAAAGAGAACTGAGGATGAGGTGGGTGGGAAAGAAATGATTGAGGGTGAGGGAGAAGGAATACCCTCGAATATTTTGGAAATTGAGGGTGGAGGTGATAGGTGTTATGATGTAGAGGTAGACATTGTTTTTGAAGTGATGGGGTATGAGATTGGGTTGGGTACGAAGGATAGCCTCGTTTACTTAGTTAAAACCTATGACTTTCCTCCCCCAATGTTAATTAAGCCTGCTAGGGTGGAGGAGAGGGCATGCTCAGCACCTTAAGATCATTGGATGGCCATGTATGCTCATTATTTAGCAGCAAGGCTTAGGTTTCCAATTCTAGAGTTGTTGGTTTGGTTATTGTTGGAGTATAGCATAGGTTTGACTCAATTAGTTCCTAATGTAGTAAGGGTAATAATTAGGTTTCTGGTGTACTGTCGAACTAGGGGTGTTAGGGGGCTCACTGTGAATATGTTTAAACATTTTTTTGTAATTAAGGCTAGGAGTAGAAAGGAGAAAGGGTGGTATTTACTTCACACCTCGGGCATCCAACAAAGAAAAAAGGAATTTATTTAATGCAAGACCTTCATCCATTAAGGGATGGAAGGAAAATTTTTTCTTTGTTGATGACACGGAGTAGGAAAGGAGGGATGAAAAAGTAGAATTTTTGTCTAGCTAGAAGGCTAAAAAAAGCCAACCAAAATAAGTGTAGCTTAAATAGTGATGAGGAGGAAGAGATTGAGAAGCTGGTGAGAGAGGGAGGAGACATCTTGGATATTATGTATCTTACTAGCTTCGATGTCATAGAGGCTACTGAGCTTTATGGGCCAAGTTCGTTGAGTGAAGGTGTGTTTGTGTTTTGCTTTGCATGATTTAATGTTAGGTTCTGACTTATGTTTCTAACATTTTTCCTATTTTGCAGCTGAGATGGACAAATTTTTGGGTGCAGTTGGGGGGTTAGCAATTCCCAAAAAATCGAGGAAGAAGTCAAAGACTTCTGAAAATGTTGCAAGTGAGGGAGAAGCTGGAGACAAAGAGAGGAAGCAGCTCTCCAGTTCATTAGCCCGAGCTCTGGTTGTTGATGAGCCAAGGTCGAAGCTCAAACGAAAAGGAAGTGAGGATTTAGAACTGGCTCAAAAAAAAAAGAAGAAAATAGGGGAGCCAGAGGTTAGGGGAGATGAGGTGGTAGAGTTCGTACCTCGGCCTCCTCCTATTGAGTTTGATCCAGAGCTTAGAGAGATTGGGGTTACAACCCATGCCAAGGGCAAGGCTCTTATTCCTCTTCCTTTTTTGCAAAGCAGTCTTTTTGACACCAAGAACATGATGGTGGCAAAGAATTTTATAAATGCATATCTTCCTGAAGTGGATCATTGTCAAGCAAGGGAGGAAGTTGTAACTCATAGAGGGAGTTCAGTTGTTAAGCACACCTTGGAGGTATGTCAAGTGATGATATTTAGTTGTTCGTTCTTGTTTTTGTTGTTGTTGTTTTTTTTTTTTTTTTTTAACTGGTGCTTATATGGCAGTGTCCAAGCTGGGTTAATGCGCTAGCTATAGAATTTATGGAAAATATTAGAGAGCGCAACAAGTTACAGAAGTAGAATGATGCACTGTAGAAAGTGAAGGGGGAGATGCAGAAGAAGCTGGATGAGGTGGTACCAGCAATGACGAGTCTGTAGGATGAGAGAGATTCGTTGAAGATGATTCTTTCATTTGAAGAGAGAAAGAGGAAAATGTGTGAAGAAAAGATTGATGCTCAAGAGAAAGAAATAAAGAAAATGAAAGAGTCTGAAGTCGAACTTAAAAAGAATGTAAAGAAGCTGCTAGCACACAATGCGATGGAGGAGCACATTGCCAAGTTTTTGAAGTCTGGGACCTTTGACAACATAATGAACCTATATCGGCTACCAACTGCAATCCTTGCTTTCACTGATTGTAGAAAGAAGGTGAAGGCTCAATACCCCGAAGTGGATGTGACTAGTATCACCTTTGGTGGGCAAGAAGGAGGGGTGGAGGAGAATGGTGAAAGCATGTCAACTGACTTCTGGCCTAAAGTTAAGCTAAGATGGGATCACACAAAGAGGGTCGTACCAGCTCCTCCAAAAGAGAATCAACCAACTCCTCCTACGGAGAGCCACCCACCTCCTCCAGTAGAGTAGAGAGGCTTTTATTTTGTATTGAAGTTTTAATGATACATTTATTTTGTTTTGAACATTTTTTGAGACATTTGCTTTTATCAATTTAATTATATGTTGGGAATTTGCTTTCATTATTTGTTGTGTTGGTGCCAAGTAAGAGTTGAGATGAAAGAAAGCACTTCAAATGTGAAGTGAAATTCATTAATAGAATTGAAGTCAAAGGAATAAAATGAATTAACAAATTGACCTTGGACAAACATTCTAAAGAATGAAATTAATTTTAGATAGAGGAGTTAACAATCATAAAGCAAAATAAGACAAAGTTTACTGATAGAAGTGAATTAAGGGTAACATTTCTTCAAATTGTTGATATTCGAGACTCTAGAGATCCTTTTCCCTTCAGTGTCTTGAAAAATATAAGCGCTTGGGTGTGGCACTTCGGCCACTGTGTAAAGGCCTTCCCAATTTGGGGCTAATTTTCCAAATCAAGTTTCGAACCTCGTTGGGCCAACTTTCCTGAGAGCAAGGTCTCCCACTCTAAATGCTCAAGGTTGAACTCATATGTTGTAGAAGTTGGCTAATTTCTACTTGTATGCCAAGGTTCGAAGTCATGATTCCTCTCTGACTTTGTCAAGCAGGTCAAGGTTCTTCCGAAGTAGTTGTCCATTTCGTCCTTTATCGAAATGGGTAACCCTGAAGCTTGGGACTCCTATTTCAATAGGAATGACTGCTTCGGTACCAAAGGTTAGATGGTAGGATGTTTCACCTATTTCATTGAGTTACTGTTTTAGAGTATACTCTATATATTATGCATATTTGACCTAGGATGAAGCAACAAAAGAAGAAATAAAGTGGTAAGAAAGTAAATTAGGTTGGAAATAATACTTGTAGCAGTTCGGCTCGTGGTTCTATATGCCCAAAGCACGTTGTTGAGCTCATTTGTCCTCCTGGCCTTGTGCTGCTCCAACCTCGATTTTATTCCTTCTAAAATAGCTTTATTAATAGATTCCACCATGCCATTGGACGCGAGGTGGTAAACCGAGGTAAGCTACAGTTTAATTCCATAATTGGAGTAAAAGTCTCTAAATGAGGAGCAGTTAAACTGAGTTCCATTATCAACCACAATTTGATTCGGGATCCTATATCAACAAATGATTGAGCTGAAAACGAAGTCTTCAACCTTCTTGGAAGTGGGGTTGGACAAAGGTCGAGCTTTCACCCACTTTGTAAAATAATCCACACCAATGACCAGATGGGTGACACCTCCAACTCCTTTCATAAATAGGCCTAAGAGATCAAGCCCTTATTGAGCAAATGGCCATGGTGCTACCAAGTTTGTTAGTTCTTTTGCTGGTTGATGAGTCAAATGTGAAAAGAATTGGCATTTTGGGCATTTTTGCATGAAGTGGCATCCCTGTGCGTATTAGGCCAATAGTATCCCTGTTTGAGAACTTGGTGAGCCAGAGTTCTAGCACCAACATGACTTCCGCAAAAACCTTCATGTACCTCTCGAAGTGCGTATCCAGCTTTGTCATAACTCAAATTTTAGTAATATTTTATTTTATTTTTATTTTTATTTTAACTAATATGTTTTGTCTTTGTTTTCCTTATTAGGTTCATAAAAAAAAATGGGGGGATTTTGCGAAGAAGATTGGAAGAGAGAGATGAAGGAAATTAAGACAAGGGACTCGATTGAAGAAATGAAAAGTTGAAGGGTAAAATGCATTGAAGTTAAAACCCACAATTATCCAAAACCCAAAGCCCACCAACTTACTCAAACCTAAACCAAAACCCAAACTCAAACCCAATTACCCAAAAGACCCAAAGCCCACCAACCACCCAAACCCAAAATCCCAAAACCAAAAATTACCCAAAACCCATTTAACCCAAACCCAAAAAAAAAAAAAGGGAAATAAACAAAGAAAGAGGGGGTATCTCGAACCTTCTTCTTCATCATCAATCTTTGGTTTCCTCTCTCCCGAACCTTCCCCATTTTCGGCAATCTTCTACTAGAGCCAACAGCCTCCTTCCCTGAGAAGCCGGCAGCGATAATCGCCAGCCATCACCGGCAATCATGCACTCTACACCCCCCTTTTGCACGCCCGAGCCCCACTGCCGACAATCATACCCCCGGCACACCGCGCCTTACCCCCTGCACCGAGCCTACGCCCCTGCTGCTACATCGAGCCTGCGCTCTTGCACTATGCGCCCCAATCCTGCGCCTCTGCACTCTTGCTCACTACAGCCATGTCCCTGCCTCACATACAGAAAAAACAACACATACCTGACAAAATCGACATCATAAGTGATTAACGGAGCAAGCCTTTTATTTATTTATTTCATTTTTATTTTATTTTATTACTTGGGTATATAAATAGAAAAAAATCAGATCAAGGGGGGTCTTTTGGTTGATTTTCGAGTTTGATTTGGGGGGTTTTCTTTTGGTTTTGAGTGTGTTGTTGACGGTAGAGAAAAGAAGGGATTTTTCTGTTGAAAGGGGGCTGTGTTTGAGAAAGAAGATTGAGGAATTTCATCTTCGGTTGCCATTGTTAGGTATAGTTCTGAACAAAGGATTTTTGTTAGGAAAATGGTGAAGGAGATGGTGGAAGCTTGATCCCGTGGGTGGGATCCCTTCCACCAGATCCAGATCTGTTTCTCTTTCAAAAATTCGCTGTGTTTGCCTTTGTTTTGCTGTGGATGTTTGTTTTCTTTAGATCTGATGTTAAGATTGTATGTGTTTCGTTGGAAAAATGAATGAAAAAAAAAATTGTTCAGTTCATTTTGTCTGATGAATGTTTTTTTTTTTTCCTGTTAGTGAATGTGATTTTTTTTTTTTTGATGAACGTGTTCTTTCTTTTGAAAGTGATGAACCCTATTGTAAGTTTCATTTTTGTTATGTTTGATCTCTTTTTCTGTTTATTTTAACTAGTGGGTTATGTTTCTGGGTTGGGTCAACCGGGCCCAATTGAATGGATTCATATATATATATATATATATATATAACTAAAAAAAAAGGTTTAAAAAAAGGTAAAAATATATATGAATAAAAATATTAATTAATTAATTGAGTTAATTTAATTTATGATTAATGAAATTAATTAATCTTAATTAAAATAAATTAATCATATTTATTGAATTTAATTTGAGATTATTAGATTTATTTAATCATTTTAATTAGAGATCAATAGATGTGATTAATTAATTTTTATTAATGTTAATTAATGTCAAATTAATTATTTAATTAAGTTAATTATCATGATTAATTAATTTAAAATTTTAATTTCCTTTAATCTAAATCCCTAAGTGTCTTTTAATCTTGATCAGAAGTAAAAGTTATTTTTTTTAATTATTTCAATTCTACACAGATTTTTTTATTAAGCAATTTAGTCTAAAGGTTTTAAATTTTTTCAAATCAATCCTCTATGTTTGTGAATTTAGTCAAATCAGTCCTCTATGTTTTGAATGTAATCAAACTAGACCCCTTTAATTTTTATTTGTGTTCATTGTGCATGCATGTCTTTGATTTTGTCCATTTTAGTCCAAAGGGTTAAACATGTTGCAATTTGGTTTATCTCTTTTTCAAGCTTGTTTATTAAGACCTAAATACAAACATAATGAATAAGTTGAATTAAAACCCCAATTTTAAAGTATGCAACCATATTTAAACAGAGGATTGTGAAGTGTGCGTATACCCTTCCTCACTCCTAATTGAACCCTCGAATCCTGATCTTTGCGCAGACTTGTTTTTAGGTGACTTGTCTCACCTTATAATTTGGATGAGTGGTGACTTCTTTTCTTATATATTTCACACTTAACTAAATGTTTTTAATTTTGAGTGTGATCATCAACAGATTGGCGACTCCATTGGGGATCGAACCCAGAATCTCTGGTTTCCATATTCTAGGTTCAGGAGGGTCGAGCAAATACTTTAACTTTGGGGAATTTTTCAGCTTTTGATTTTCGTTGTTTGTAGAGTCTTTGTTGACTCTTTGTTGGTCTTTGTCGGTCTTCGTCGTTTGTTGCATGTGCTTGTTGTGTCGTGATTGTTACTTGTTGGCTTGTTGCTTTGGTGTTTCCTTCTATTGTTTTGTTTTTGAATAGTTATCTTACTATATATTGACATGCATCATGTCTTGCTTACATGTTCATGCATCATTGATGTTACATACTCATTCACCATGCACCATGCTTACATGCTTGCTTGCTTGTGTGTGGATATACTCACCTTTTACACTTGGCTATGGAGTACTCAGTGAGTCTCTTCCCTCTTGTGCGATTATTTATATCTTGTTGCATGTTAAGTGTTGGTTGCTTTGTGTTACTAACCTTTTGCATTTGGCATGGGAGTACTAGGTGAGTCCCTTTTTACTATGTAAGTATGTGTGTTTGTGGATGCTATATCTATTGAGTATTTTATATGCTTTATTTGATTGCTATGGCATATATGTTGCTATTTTTGTGGTTGCCATTGTGCAAGTTATTGGAGTGTCATGCCTCTTGCACACACTTACTCTCATTTTGCATTAGGTCCGTGTCGGAGGTGAACCCGACCTCTAGTCTGGAATCCTTATGAATCTTGCTTGGAAGAGCAATTCTTCCTGCTTAAGGAGTAATATCGAACATGTATTGGCTTTAGAGAGATACCAACCTTAGGACATATTTCCCTTGGCATCCCACTCGTGAGGCTAAGCGTCCCGTGTTTAAGGCACAAAAAGGGCATTTACTTCATTAACCTTGGTTTGTGCATATGGCAGCTTATTCGTGCACACTTAATGGGGTATGGCATGTGAGGGTATGATTTATGTTTAATTCTGTTAAGCCTTTTGTTTAGGTAAGATCATGCATTAGACATGGATTTTACCGAGGATATAACTAGACAAGGGAAGAGACTTGGGGAAGATGTCACATCTCATTCTACCACTAAGAAGGCTAGGGAGTCAATCTTTTCAATCAATACCTCCAAACCCGACTTGAAGCTGCTGAAAAAGGCTTATGACTTGTTGTCCTCTAAAGAGAAGCATGACTTTGAGGTCTGATTTGGGTGCAATGGGGATCTATTGTTAGTGGTGCCGAATTGGAACTTGTTCAGAGCTATGTTGAAATTTTATGTACTAGAATATCAAGCTTTGGTGTTCCCACAATTTGAGTTTGTGCCCACCATTGATGAGTATCATCACTTCCTACGGTGTAGTCCTGCGGTGTAGTCCTATAGTGGATTCTTTTACCTTCACTCCTCAAGCACAACATATGAAGTTCACACTAGAAAAAGTTCAAGAAATGTTGCAAGCTATGTGGGGGTTTTCATTTGAATTCTCACAACCATTGGTGACAACTAGAGATGATTCTTATGGGTTTGATTGGAATGCAACATTAATGGCTTTGGGAAAGAAATTGGAAGGCATGACATCTTTTCACAAGATTAACTTTGTGGCATTAGGAATTTATGGCATGGTGATCATTCCTATCTATCTCAAGACCATTGCACCCATGGTGATAGCTTTGTTTGAGCAATTGTTGCGCACTTCGGCATTTAATCCTACTGCTACAGTGGTGGTTGAAACTTGATGGTCTATGATAGAAATTTGGGCTAAAAGATCCAGCCGCTTCTCGGGTTGCATTGAGTTGTTCACCGCATGGGCACATGGTCACTTAAGGGATCCTCAATTTGAAGCTTTATTTAGCATTCCTGTGAAAGATAGAAAGACGAAGGATTGGCATCGATCACTTGTAGTAGCAAATGTTAATGATGTTGGATTTGTTCTCCCAACTGGGAATGCTACTCATTATCTTGCTCCACCTGAAGGATATCACTTTATTCCTTTGTTGGGTATTCATGGAGGGGTTACATATTCAGTGGAGTTGGCATCTCGATAGTTTGGAAGAGCACAAGGCATTCCCTATCTTGATGACGCATTGCAGTCACACTTTGATTACATGTCTTTCCCAACAACTGTTGACAAGGTATTCGAAGCACATGAGGTGTGGGAGAAATGTAGGATGCTACCTACATGGAAAGAGAATGGGATTAGACCACAATATGAGCAATGGAGATTGAGTTTGATAGCTAAGCTTTCTTTGCCATGGGAGGTGATAAATACGAAAAACTCTACCATCGTGGACTTAACCACTAAGTTGGAACCTAGCCATGCTCAAAGATGTTAGTTGCTAGAGAAGTATGATGAGTTAGCACTTGATCATGAGTTGCTTAAAAGATGGAAGGACAAGATTGCCTCATTAAAAAGGGATTTGGCTGCTAGTAAGGAAATTTGTGAGAAGCAAAAGAGGAGCTTGGAGTTTGTCGAAGAACAAAGGAAAAAGCTGCTATAAGTAAAGGAGGATCTTAAGGCAAGAGAAAAGGGGAACAAAGAGCTTGTGGAGAAAATGATTAAATGGCAAGAGTTGAAAGGAAAAGTGATTAAATGGAGGAATGCTTACAACAACTTATTGTTTGATTATGATGCTCTATAAAAGGAATTACAAACAGCAAAGCAGTCAAAGCAAGGGGAGAAGGAAAGCACAACTTGAAGAGCTTGGGAAAGATGGGTTACTTGGGAGCTATTGTACAAACATCAGAAATTCAGATTTGTCAATGAAAACTTGCTTGAATGAATACAATCTTTCTTCCTTGTCAAAAGTATATCCAATGAAGTAAAATCCATCATTAGGATAGAAATTTTAATTCTCAAGCCTCATATCACATTTGCATTTTATTATATATGTCATTAGCTACGATCTTTGATTATTCTCTTATTAATATCTTTATTTTTGTCGCTTTGTGTTTAGTTCTCAAGCCCTTTTGTTTGAACCATCTGTGACCTTTGAAAAGAAATATGGATTCTCACACATCCAAGACACAACCTTCTACACACAAGACTCTGTTGGAGTTTTTTGCCTGTACTCAAAGGCTCAATGAAGGAACCATCTCTTATTTGCACCAATTAACTAAAGACAATGAACACCTTCGCAAAGCCAATGAGCAATTGGAAGAGCAATTACTAGACATGACCATCAACCGTAATCTTTATAAGATTGCCATGGAGGACATGTGCTATCAACTCCAAGTTGAGAAGCAAAAGAACCAAGCTCTTGTTAAGGAGGACACCAGCTTGTGGAAAGTTGTCATTGACATAAACGCTTTGGTGAATCAATTCGAGGGAAAGATGGCCGAGACTCATCATCACATTGCTCAAAGGACCCATCCGATTGAGGGGATTTTTCCAACCAGTCTTCGACTTTATCATTGACATGTCTAATCTGCTTAAAAGGTTATATTAGGATTTATGTTCTGTGATGAGTTTCTTTTAGCTTTAAAAGAATGAAAGCTTGTAAGCACTTTGAATGCAACTTTGTACTGCTTGCTAACTTTGTTTAACGTGTAGTTATTTAGTAATGAAAAGCCATGTTTTAGCACAAATCATTGTAAAATGGGTGAATATCTTCGTACAAGATGGAAACACCAATGTGGGAATCCATATGGAACTTCAGAGGGGAAACTAATGGTCTAATTAAAGGGGGCTAAAATCTCTTTAGTTTTCTAGTTTTTCCTTTTTGTCTTTACATTTCTGTTGGTAGTTAAAAATTCTTCTAATCATAGCTCCAAGGCAAAAGGTTTTCAAAAAATGGCATTCTCCGTATTCGGTCAGATCTAGAGTAATCAAATTGTTTGAGGAAAATGCTGCTACTAATCCACAGAAATCAGCCGTTGATGAAAGGGTTGATAAGTTGGAAGCTACAATGCAAACTATGACTGCTATCTGCAGACCATCAGTCTCACTTTGTCCACTTTGACTACTAGTTCGGTTCCTTCACTTGCATGCTTAATACCCACAATACCAGTTCCACCTGTCCCTATTCCATCATCTACCATTACACTAGGTAATCATGTTAAGGATCCCATGGTCACACAATTGCAATTTCCACCTATTTATGAGAATCAGCCTCTAATGGGGAGTCATCTTCACATGCTCCGCAAATATCATCTCTGCCCTTTGAAGCCTCATACCCACCATTCGAGATGAACAACCCTACCTTGCCCACAATCACACCTCTTACCCTTAACATACCACCTTTGATGGGACAAGTGCCGGCTATTCAACCCAACCCCTTGGTTGATATGTTAAGGCCTGCTTTGGAGGAAAGGAAGTCAAAAGAGGTCAATCATAAGTTGCAACAATTGGAAGAGGCTTTGAAAGCGATGCAAGGGCCACAATCTTATGGTTCTATTGATTTAGATGATCTTTGCTACTATTCAGGAATTCAAACAAATTTCAAGTTCAAGCAGCCGGATTTTGACAAATATGATGGCTCAGGTTGTCCTTATGCCCACCTGCAGATGTATGCCAGGAAGATGGTACCCTATGCTAATGATGAGAGGGTACTCATTCATGATTTTCAAGACAGTCTCTCAGGCCCAGCAAGTGTTTGGTTTTCAACACTTGACAAGAAGAAGATGCGCACTTTTAAGGATGTTTCTCAAGCTTTTATGAAGCAATATGAGTTAATATGAGTTTGGCCCCTACAAGGGATAGCTTGCAGAGAACCACCAAAAAAGGTAATGAGACTTTCAAAGAATTTGCTCAATGGTGGAGATCTAAAGCAACAAAAGTCATTCCACCCCTTACCGACAGTGAAATTTGCTCTCTCTTTATCAAGTCAACTACCGGGACCTTTCGTGCATGGTTAGCTCCTTGTGTGGGATATACTTTTGCTTAGTTAGTGACAGCGGGGGAACAAGTTGAAGATGGACTGAAGACGGGTATTATTATGGACTTTTAAACCATTCAGAGGTAGTCAGAGCAAGTCAAGAGGGGAGGCTTAGGTTCTACTTCAAAGAAGCTTGTACACACGAGAAAAGAAAGAAGATGAGGAAGCTTTGAGTCACATTTTCACTAGTCATGCTAAACTAGTTTATAATGTCGCAAATGGTCCTTACAATTGGTAGCCTCAATTGCAATACACTTCAACCTGTAAGCCTACCCCCTACTCTCAAAGAAAGCCAAATCTTAATGCTCAAGCTTCGGTTAAACAGCAATTCCCACCTGCAAGTTAGTCCAGGCAATTCACTAAACTTCCAATCCTTTATAGTGAGGTGTTGAAATAGTTAGTTGAAGTTGGTTTGATAAAGACATTGCAAGTGAACCCTATCCAACCACCTTATCCGTATTGGTATGATGCCTAGGCTAAGTGTGAATACCACAATGTGGTGGGTCATGGCACTGAGAATTGTGCAGCTTTGAGACATAGAATTCAAGATCTCATCGATGAGGGTAAACTTCAGCTTGATGTTAAGGAAGCCAAGGGTGTTCCAAACATCACTCAAAATCATTTACCTCCGCATGATGCAAGCACAATGAATACGATCACTTTTAATGCAGTTGAAAAGCCGATGTTGAAGGATATTGGTTCTTGGTCTCTTGATGAATTGTTTGCCATTTTTGATAGAATATGATATAATTCAGCCGATTGCACAAATGAGCTTGAATGTTTTGCCAATGATGATTGATGATGTTGTGATGTGTCTTTATCACTCTAATATGAAGGGGCATGCTTTGCAAGATTGCAAAGATTTTCAGAGAAAGATCAAAGAGCTGCAAGGAATGGGAGTTTTGAGGTTTACATCTACCCAAGAGGTAGAGAAATTCATAGCACCAGTGACTGAAGAATACTTCACTAAAGAGAGGCCTTACATTCTACAAGATACTACAAAAGCACAAGTCATCAGTCAGAATTCATAGTAGCCTTATGTCTTGAAGACCTCCCTTAGTGAGTCATTCATGGGAAAGACATCATCTGTGGCCAATAGCCATTTTCCTTACTCATTTAAGGTTATGCCTCAATGCTCTACCATCTTGAATTCTACAACTAATGATGTGTTTAATATGACCCGTAGTGGTCAATGCTATGTGAATCCCGAAGTGGAAGAATTGAGAAAGGTTGTCTTGAAATCAAAAGATATCAGAATTGAAGAGATGCCAGAAGAATCACCCAAGAAGCTAGTGTTAGAAAATGAAGTCGCAGAATTTCTGAACATTTTGAGGAAAAGTGAGTATAGCATCATTGAACAGCTCAACAAAACCCCTACAAAAATTTCTGTTTTAGAATTGATGCTGTCATCTGGGGTTCATCTTGACACATTGCTCAAAGTCTTAAAAGAGGCCTATATGCTTAAGAACATTGATACTCAAAAGTTTGTGACTGTGGTTGAGGCAATCTTAGCTCCAAATTATATTAATTTCAGTAATGATGAGATTCCCAATGAAGGAAATGGACATACTAAAGCTCTCCATATTTCAGTCCAATGTAAGACGATGAATGTGCCTCATATGTTGATCAACAATGGGTCAGCTTTGAATGTGATTCTTATGACTGTTTGAAACAGTTGAAAGTGGATGAGTCTCACATTAATCAGTGCAATATAGTGGTTTGTGCTTTTGACGGAACAAAGAGGAATGTGGTTGGAAAGATTGAGCTTCTAGTGGAAATTGGCCTTGTGACTTTTGATGTGGATTTCTTTGTTATGGACGTTTCTCCTGCTTTTAATATGCTCCTTGGGAGACCTTGGATACATGTCAGCGGAACAGTAACATCCACCTTGCATCAAAAAGTTAAATACATCGTCAATGGTGTTCTTGTCACGGTGAATGGCAAGGAAGAACACGTCATCCGAAAGGCTACAACCATTCCTTACTTGGGAATTGATCCTGGAACTTATGAATCCTTTTATCACTCAATGGAGTGTGTTGTGGCTTCTTATATACATCCAAAGTTCAAAGGGAAATGGGCTGAAATGGCTAAACCTGCCAAGGTTGCTGCTAAGATCATGCTTTCATGTCATTACCAATTAGGAGAGGGTTTAGGATTGAATGGACAAGGAATTCTCGAGCCTATTGAGGAAATTCAAACTTGGGGCACTTTTGGTCTGGGATACAAGCCAAAGAAGGAAGATTGGCAGAGAATGCGTGATATTAAAGCGAAGAAACGCCTTGCTAGACTTCAAGGGAGAGATACGAGGGATGAGCCAAAATGGGTGCCGCACATCAGAGTCACGTTTCCACAACCTGTTGAGATTTTGTGCTCCTCGCTTGATGGATATGTGATGAAGCATATGGATGTTTTATATGTAGATCTAGAAGGTACTATTTTCACTAATAGATTGCTTGAAATTGGGGAATGTGCAAAACAAGCAAAGTTTGAGGACGTAGTTGTGGAAGATATCACTGATGAAGTCTGTTCTGATGATGAGGAAGACAATTTTGGTTTCAATAGCCTCTTTGGGCCAGCCAACATGACATATCCTAAGGAAAGGGGGAGAAGGATCTTGCTGAAAGGGCATTCATGGAGAGGCACCCCAACTTCCATCTCATTCATTATGCAAAAGCTCCAATGGGATCACATGAGTCTGTACCTCTTGAAACAGTGAAAGAAGAATCACTATGTGACTCATGGGGAAATTTGACTATAAATGCTCTAGATGAGGAAGAACTTGAATTTGATAGGGGAATCTCTCTAGTTAATGGAAGCTCTCAGGCTAATTGGATAGCGAAACTTCTCCCTACAGCTTTCATCTCTGAGTAAGAAGAGTCAGCCTCTAGTAGTTCTACTTGTGACTACACGAAGGGAGGGATCCACCAAGCACTTTTATATTTTTTGAAATTTATGCTTCTAGTATTCCCATGCTTTCCTTTTCAATGAAACATGTTGCAATCCTACCTATCATTATAAAATCACCATGATGCAACTTTAGTTGGACTTTCATTATACAAGCCACTCTTTAATGATATATTTCATTAGGTTGTCCAGTAACATGTTCTTATCTTTGCTTTATTATTATTTAGCCATTTATTTACTCCCATCCCAAATTTTCAAGCCTGCTAATGATGAATCTTTAAACAATGACGCCATATTAGACTTTATATATGAGATTGGTGATGAGACCTATAAAGAAAAAGACAATGAAAATCTTGATCCTTCTCGTGAACTAACTCAAATGCTAAGAGAGGAGAAACCAAAGCTGTGGCCAAACCAAGAGATAGAAACCATTAATTTGGGAACTGAAGATGATAGAAAGGAGATAAAAATCAATGCTCACCTATCCTCAGAGGAGAGAAAAGAGTTGATCGAGCTCTTATTTGAATTTTAAGATGTTTTTGCTTGGTCCTACAAGACACGCTGAGACTTGATCCAAATATTGCAGTTCATGCCATTCCACTCTATTCTAGGGCCAAGCCAATCAAGCAAAGGCTAAGCAGGATGAAGCCAGAGGTTCTATTGAAAGTCAAAGAGGAAGTGCAAAAGCTACTAGATGTCAATTTCATTGAAGTAGCTATGTATCCGAAATGGGTAGCCAATATTGTTCCTATAATGAAAAAGGATGGCCAAGTTAGAGTCTATGTTGATTATAGAGATTTGAACAAAGCAAGCCCCAAGGTTGATTTTCCATTGCCTCATATTCAAATCCTGCTAGATAATGCTGCCAAAAATTCTCGGTTGATGGCTACTCTAGGTACAATCAGATAAAAATGAAGGAGGAGGATAAGCTCAAGACTACGTTCATCACTCAATGAGGTACCTTTTGCTACAAAGTTATGCCTTTTGGACTCAAAAATGTCAGGGGCAACATACCAACACCTTCTAATTACTTTATTACATGACTTTGTGCATACCATTGTTGAGCTATATGTTGATGACATGGTGATTATGTCCAAAGAAAAGGTGCTACATACAAAAAATCTCAAGAAGGTGCTTGAACGCCTTAGAAAACACCAACTAAGACTTAATCCTGCCAAATGTACTTTTGATGTGGATTTCGGAAAGCTACCTGGCATCATTGTGAGCCGCCGAGGAATAGAGATTGACCCAACCAAAATAAAAGCCATTGATGAAATACCACCACCAAAAACCCAAAAAGAAATCCGAAGTTTCCTAGGAAGAATTAATTACATTGCCCGTTTCATTGCCAACCTCACCACCATTTGTGAGCCTATCTTCAAACTCCTCAGAAAAGACAACCCTTATACCTGGAATGACCAATGCCAACAAGCCTTTGACAAAACCAAAGAATACCTCAAAAACCCATCAATCCTTGTGCCACCAACTGATAAAAGGCCTTTCATCTTATATATCACTGTCCTTGGAGAATCCATGGGAGCCGTCCTTGTCCAACATGAAGACTTAGGTAGGAAAGAAAGAGCCATCTATTACGTGAGCAAGAAGTTCAATGATTGTGAGAGTAAATACTCACCCTTAGAAAAAACTTGTTGTGCCTTAGCTTGGACATCCAAGAAACTTCGCCACTACATGTTAATCAACACCACTTACCTACTTTTAAGAATGGATCCCATAAAATTCATTTTTGAAAAAACTACCCTTTCTGAAAGGATCTCTCGATGGCATATGTTGCTTTCCAAATTTGATATTGTTTACACAACACAAAAATCCATCAAAGGACAAGCCATTGCCAATCATTTAGCCGAACATGCGGCAGAGGATTATGAGCCTATTGATTGAGATTTTCCTGATGAGGACATTTTGGTAGTGGAGGTAGAATTTGATTCAGATAATTGGAAGCTCTTCTTTGAAGGAGTTGTTAACCAGCTTGGTTGTGGCCTTGGAGCCATGTTGGTATCCCCAAAGGGTGATCATTTTCCTATTGCTATAAAGCTTGATTTTGCTTGTACCAACAACATAGCCAAATATAAAGCTTGTATTGCAAGAATACATGCTGCTCTAGATATGAATGTCTGAGATTTGGAGATATATGGTGATTCAGCACTAATCATATGCCAAACAAATGGTGATTGGCAAACCAAGGATCCAAAACTTATTCCTTATCACCAAGACCTTGAAACTCTCATCGGAAATTCAGATTCATCTCTTTAAACCATATGCCCCAGGCCAAGAACCAATTCACGGATACTTTGGCAACTTTAGCCTCCATGATCTAAATCTCTAGTAATGATGTAATCAAGCCTTTAATGATTGAAATTAGTTAAGAACCAGCACATTGCATGGAAATCAAGGTTGATGACAAACCATGGTTTCATGATATTAAACAGTTCTTGCAAAATGGGGAATATCATCTTCATGCTTTTGAGGTGAACAAGAAGACAATCAAAAAATTGGCACCTTCATACTTCTTGAGCAGAAATACATTGTATAAGCACTCTGCTGATATGACCTTGTTGAGATGTGTTGAGGAAACAAAAGCAAAACAAGTCATGACTGAGGTCCATGAAGGGATATGTGGAACACATGCCAATGGAAGAATGCTTGCTAGAAAGATCCTTAGAGCTGGGTATTATTGGTTGACTATGGAACATGACTACATCAAGTATACACGAGCTTGTCACAAATATCAGATTTATGCTGATCATATTAATGCTCTGCCTTCATTACTAATAATATGTCTGCTCCTTGGCCATTCTCTATGTGGGGCATCAATGTGATTGGTGCAGTTAATCCTAAAGCTTCCAATGGTCATCAATTTATCTTGGTTGCTACTGATTATTTTACCAAATGGGTGGAAGCAACATCTTATGCTAGTGTTACAAAGAAGGTGGTCACTTGCTTCATCAAAAGAGAGATCATCTGCAGATATGGACAGCCAGAGGCCATCATTACTGATAATGCAAGCAACTTGAACAATGACATGATGACTGCGCTATACAAGTAATTTAAGATCAAGCATTTGAACTTTGCCCCATACCGACCAAAGATGAATGGTGTGGTGGAAGCTACTAACAAGAATATCAAGAAGATTCTAGCTAAAATGATAGTTACTTACAAAGACTAGCATGAAATGTTGCCATATGCTGTCCATGCTTATAGAACCTCTGTTCGCACTTCAATTGGGGCAACCCCTTATTCTTTGGTATATGGAATGGAGGCAGTACTACCAATTGACCTAGAAATTCCTTCCATGAGAATTTTATCTGAGTCAGGGATTAATGAGGAAGACTTGATTCAGAAAATGATAGATTATCTCAATTTGCTTGATGAGAAACGATTGGCTGCTCTTTGTCATGGCCAATGCTATCAACGACGAATGGTAGCAGCTTACAACAAGAAAGTCAAACCTAGAGTATTTCATCAGGGAGATATCATCTTAAGGAAGATCATGCCAAATGAAAGGGACCCTAGAGGCAAATTCACACCAAATTATGAAGGGCCCTATGTTATTAAACAAGCTTTCTCTAAAGGAGCACTCTTGTTGAGATATCTAGATGGAATTGATTATCATCACCTGGTGAATGCCAATGCTGTCAAAATGTATTATTGCTAAAAAAAAAAAAAAAAAGTTAGGTTGAAAACTCAAAAAGGCGGCCTAATAAATTAAATGTTTCCTTGACTTGGAAAGTGGAGATGCAATGATGAAAAGCCATGTTTCTCTATCCTAATCAGTTAAACATTGTCCTTTTGCTTACCCCTTTTGAGGTAAAAAAAGTTAATCATTCAAATTTACAAAAGCCAGAATGATTTTCTTTCTATTGATCCACATTAATGATCGAGGAAGTGAAGAGAGATATGTGAGGGGAATATATGGATTTTGAGGCTTTTATCATTTCTTTCATTATAACCTAACCCCAAGCCATGTTGCAATCTCGTATGAAAGTCCTCATCTGAGGGTTTAAAGCTTTCT